CGGAACAGGTCAACGAATATCATCTTGCCGACAAAGGACCGACCAAAAACCCTACCGAACAAAACCCAGTTTTTAAAATATCATAGACAGTTCTCCGTATTTCTTCCTTACCCCGAGCCCATGCTTAACCTTTACCTCTATTTCTAACGCAAGTAATTTTTTAATACAGACAGGGTGTGCGCATTCCTTGTGCAGATCATCCTGTAGAAGTAATTTCCCAAGGAAACTACTTCCCATGCACTTTGAAAACTTGCTCCTCAGGAAACGTGCTTTTAATCATCCACGACAACAGTGTATGGAAGAAAATTATTATGTTTGGCAATTATGTTTTACCCATTTAGGGTTAATAGGAATTTGTCCAAACTTCTTATTCAGAATTGGTGTTATTTCCTCTCTTGGAGCCGTTTTGAAAGGAAGTGTCTTTTCTTTAAATTATGCCTTAGAAATTAGGAAGTATTGCTGGTTTCAAAAGTTCCCTAAATCGTCTGTTCTATTTAAAACGGCCCACATTTTCACCTCCGCCAATTTTCCCCTTTCTGGAGTACACGTACATGGAAACATTATCAAAAATTGACGGTCGTTGCCGGGGCGTGACACCCTGGACTACATAAGATCATGAGACCAAAGCATGTTCAATTTGACATCCAATAACGTTTCTAACTTATAGTTATCAATATTTTTTCTTGGGAATTCTTTATCTCCCAAAAAATCTGCAACAAATTTTGTTTCGACAGCTTCTTCTGCAAAAAATAATTTCCTCTTTTTCCTCTTTTTTGAAAATCACTCAAGAACATATTTGCTGTCGGGAAAGTGTCCGTTCTGAGAGGATTTTCGGTTTATTTCAGTTTATTTGTTACGCATAATAGGCAATGCCTTTGAAAACCCTTCGTCATATACAACTGTGCACGGACAATTGCAATCGTTATTGTTAAAAAAAGTACTTATGTGATACAAGTAGCATTGTTTAAAAACTTCCTGAGGTATGCGGATGTTTATCTCAGGTTCAGACTGTCGAAGGAGAATAGTGGACTGCGCAAACACGCCGTTACGTCAAAAACCATCTGACTGAATGCTTCTAATTGCGTCGTAATGTACCGTGAATTTCCGTGACAAATCGCACTGAGTTATTTCCGTCAATGCTTCATGACACTACGCACCGGACATTTATTCCAGGCGGACAACTACACTCATTTTTTAGTTTTATCTGGTGAAACCACTGCAGCATGTGAAGTGGGCTGCTTCCTGTTCGAATTAATTTCAGCCAACTATACATTTTAATTATGGATACATTTTGGATATAGTGTTCGTTATGTGGTCACGCATTAAAATAGGCGGTGTCGTTTTTCATCACCTCCCAGGTCATAGAAAACAGGTCATCTGTAGCAATATCGTACTAAATTGCACTAAGTTAAAGACTCCTTCCTGAAATTAAAAACCGCAAACGAACTATTGTGAGCAGATGGGCTCCAACAAGGGTCCATCACTGGAAATAGGAATGACGGTGGAAAAGCGACCTCTACGTGTTTTAGCCAATCAACGACCAGTGTCGCGAATTCGATGTTATCTACGCTTAGCAGCGTGTGGGTGGTCCATTGATACACGTATTGGTCGCAGACGCTATGTACAAGCCGATGTAACCACGCAAATATCAGTGTTATTAACTCTGCCGATAGTTTCGCACGCAGTTATGAGTGCGGTGCGACAGCTACTCTGGCGCTTGGCCGAGCTTTACATAAACTAGTATGTCACCGAAGACGCATTTGCCATCTTCAAAAAATTATATATATACGCAAAGAACAAGGATCGTTTGAAGGGAGGACAAGCAGTTTGAGAGCGTTTTGCGTGAAAATAAGCTTGACATCGACCACATTGAGTGCTGTATACGCTCTCCGTTGATGTTGAGGCTTCGTGCGAGCCTTACTTGGAAACACTGGGCAAAAATTGTAGCCAAATCGCCGGATCTCGTTGCCTGTTCTAATCGTAAAATATGTCAAAACATTCCCAAATTCATTATGGTTGCCTAGAGATGTTAGGATTATTTCAAGAATTCCTTTAGCAAAAGAAGCAAAATGTAGCATAATTTTCATCCTCAAAAATATTTTTTTTCTATTTCACTGGTTTTCCATGGGCAAACCAAAACGTCCTCGTAATTTCCCTGAGATCAATGCGCTTCTAACTAATAAATGTATCCCTCAAGGTCTTATCTAGCATCAACATCAGTTAGTAGGTTGAACTTTGCTTCTACAGCAGGAGGAACTCTTCGCGGAAATTGACAGAATGATATATAATTTTTCCCAGAAGCAAAAGCTAACGCCATGTTATCGCGCTTGTAGTCCAGAGTGTGTTGGTCATTCGTGTTTACTGCCATGAATCGTTCTGTTAAAAAGTTTCTTATTCCAGCAATGATAACTAGTCACGCTCGTCACTGGGGCCGATCTTGATCCCTTCTTCCATCTTGAATATAACCGAAGACTGTCTGCCATCCTAATAAGTCCTGCTAGACTTGTGTGAGCACACTTCACAGATCTTTGGTTTTCATACAGATGAACATAAAACCATGCAATCGGTTGCCCCCTAATTTACTTGCGGACGAAAAACTGCCAATCTTTATGAACCACTTCGACAAGCTGTAGCCTAGACGAAATTTCTGCCCTCGTACGATGCACTGGAGCACAGGAACGCTATGATTGGAATAAGGGTTTTGTTCATTGCCTAGGGAACTTACTTCTACTCATGCTTGTATGGTCTGGTGGACAGACATACTGATGGAAACACTAGTGATCCTTTCTGCGGGCATAATTCGTAAGTCTGCCACTTCTACAAGATCGTCTGGATTCGCCACTTAAAATGCTATATTTAATTTTAAGATGAATGCAATCCAATTCACTTTCTCCCAATAGGCAATATCACCAGAAGCACTGGTGGAAAAGGTGGCACAGAAGAT